TTTTAAATGGTATGTTTTTTTAAAGGATTCCGGTTCGATCTACTTTACGGGTAAAGGTTTTGAAATTTTGAACATTCTTATTTTAAGTTCAAAATTTGAGCTTATTTCATAAACTCTATTTGAATTTATATAAAGTGTTGAAATTTAAAAAAAAAAAAAAAATCTTCTTTATATTTTGTAAATTTAACTTGATTTTTGTAGATGCAAAAAATCTACCGTCATGAAAATAGGGTCTGATCTCGTGAGGTTGAGGTCACTGACAATCCGCTAGACCTGCACACATAAAAGGGCAAGCGTGAAGCTTCTAGAAAACACTAGGGTGGTGTTTGCTGTAGGCACTCCGACGCTCAAGTCAGCAAGGCTGAAAGAGATTTAATAAGAATTAAGGAGAAGAAGAATTACCAGGCGTCTTGTCGAAAGCTAGGATTACGGCGGAGGCGTCGAGTTCTTGGGAGCAAGAACTTTAGGAGCAAATAGATGGTTTTGAGTAGTGTAGATTGACTGTGGGAGATTGCATCCCTAATGAGAGGGCAAACCTTTATTTTTATAGTGAACCAAAGGGGTTAGAATCCTAGTAGGACATTGAGTCATCTTTTTTGGGAGATAATCCCTATCAAGAAAGAAATATGATTTCTTGACCTTATCAGATTAAGTTTACTAGTTTAAGTAAGGTTCAAAATCTTAGCAGAAGAGGAAATAGAATATGACTCTGATTTCCTATTTATGGACTGTTGTAGGCTAATGAGCTGAAACCCAATTCAACTTAACTTGTAGGATAGCCTAACTCATAAAGTGGGCAGTTCACAAGGTGATTTTAAGCGTAGGCCCAATCGGGATTGGGCAGAGGCCTTGGGCCGTGTCATGTTTATTTCGTTATTGGGTCTTGTCAAGCCCAAGACGATTTTTGGTTGTAACAGTTAGCTCCCCACTCTTTAAGTTAAAGAGTATTTAGCTTAGAGAGTGGATTTAATCGAATGAGTGCAGACTGAGTAGATTAGTGATAGCAGCTCGTTAGGTCGGATGGACCATTGTGTGGATTGGGTCAATGACTTGTCGATTTGAAGTGTAAGAACCCTTCACTCGGTATGGCCAACTGAATGTGTAGTTTCATGAACCGGGCAGAGCCGACCGAAGGTGTAGATCGTGGATCGAGTAGGGTCGATCCGAAAGTATAAATCCGTGGCTCGAGTAAGGTCAATCCGAAGGTGTAAATCGTGAATTGGGGAGGGCCGATCTGAAGGTGTAAATTGATAAATCAGGCAGGACCGACCCGAAGGCGTAAATCGATAAATCGGGCAGGGCCAATTTAAGGTGATCACAGTAGACGATTCAAAACAACTTCATATGGTATCTCGCATGGTGTACAGTTATCCACCATAAATTGAATAAGAGAAGTAATGGCATGCATATGTAAGAGTAGACCAAATCAAGAATATGTTAAATGGAGAAGTAATAAGCCAAACAAACTCATGGCTAAATGGAGAAGTGATTCATGGCCTGCGTATATAATAAACCAAAAAAATAATAAGTCAAATAGAGAAAGATATACTATGCCTGGGATGCATGTGTTGAACAATAGGCTGAATGGAGAAACAAAGAGCCGAATGAAGGTGTTTGGCTGGATAGAGATGCATGAGGCCGAACGAAGGTGTTTGGTTGGATGGAGATGCAAGCAGCCGAATGAAGTTGCGAAGTATCGAACAGGACAAGTTTGGCCGAATGGGGCTTATTTGCATTGAAAGCATGAGATTGAATGGAAATAATAGCATGAAAATGTCTTAGAGGAATAGGTCTTTGCCTAAATCCACTCGGTAGGTCGAGTGAGACTTTCAAAGCCAATTGAGATGAATATTCTTGTGTTGCTTAATTAATGCCCACTTGGTAGGGGACATTGACTCAATTCAGCAAGTGAAAAGAAAATCAAAGAATTCCAAATAAAGCTTCTAAGGAATATCAAAATCTTATTGTGTAGGAGGTGGAATAGAAAGCTTACCTCTCCAAAAATTTTGACATGTGGCATTTTGGGAACAAGGTGCATTAAATGGCATAAAAAGGTGTTTTAGCCTTTGAAGATTTGAAATCCTTTTTCTTTCCTTTGTTTCCTTTTGCTTTGAAAGAAAGTTTTTTTTTGAAAAACTTTCTACAGCCGCAAATTTCCCAGACGTGTTTCCCTGAGATTTCTTTGGTAAAGTTCGTATTCTTTTGCTCTTTCTTTGATTCTTTTTTAGTTCCAAAGGATGTTGAAGTTTTTTGAGTGACTCTTTGGGAGTTTTGATATTTGTTTTTTAAGGAGGCCAGATGGGTTTTACGAATTTCCTCTGTTTTTTCCACAAAGTTTTGTTTTCCAATAATTCCTGAGGTTTTTGAGAGGAATTTGGTGATTTCTGGGGAGGATTCAGAATTGTTATTGGCAAGTTTTTTGGGGGAATTTTGACATTATTGACGGATAGGGAAAGAGATTTGGAGGTGGTTTTCTTTCATTTTTTTTTTATTTTTTTATTTTGGGTTCTTGGGCAGTGTTCTAAGTGGAGTAGGAGATAACCGTTTGCACAAGAATAGTCCGAGTTAAAAAATACCGTCGCTCAGCTCATCCTTTTATGCCTGTGTAGCAAAGCCGAATGAATCCAAGGAGATTTGGGTAGTAGTAGGAGTGTGATATTGGGTAAAGCGATGTAAAGTATTGATCAGGCTTTTTTGAAGATTCATGGCCGATTTTGGCGATCAGAGAAAGAAAGAATGAAGTAGAGGAAAGTTGTCTGGTGTTGTTAAAGAAGAAACAAGTGTTCAGATTGAATTTGCAAAGAGAGAGAGATTGTTGTGATTATGAGCAAAGTGTTTTGTGGGAATTTTTCAGGTTTCAGAGAAGGTAATGAGAAAGCATGAGAACCAAAAAATAAAATAAAAAAGAGAGATGAAGACAAAGAGAGAAAGTTGAGAATGTTTCAAGAAGATAATGAGAAAACGTAGAACAAAAATATTGAAACACGGATTATACAAGTACCTGAGAAGAAATCGGAGAGGCGAGTTCACGACCGTCGAAGTCTTCGTATTGATTAACGACATTGGTGTTGTAGAAGCGGGAGACTGAGGTGGCAGTCAGAGTGATGGTATGGCTGAGAGACCTGGGAAGGAGAGTTGAGGATACAATTCTCTTGAGAGATCAAGAGGACGCCATTGATGACTTAGAGTAGGTGCTTAGAGACAACTGTGTTTGCAGAGTTACAACTATTTACTCATCCAGTTTTAAATTTGTATCCGTGGAATCATGCAGTGTGATTCTTTGTAGAGTTCAAGTTTGCTTGACCGTGTGGGATATCGTTTCGCCGGAGCCATAACGTGGTTTTGCCGTGCTGCTAAATTTCGATAGAGTCAAGTGGGAACATTGACTCCAACTTCGGGGACTTAATTAACAGGGACCGAGCAGAGTTGGAAGAGGCTTGGTGGAGTCAAGTGATCTTTATTGAATACTTAGGGAGACTGTAGGAGTTGGTGATCTAGCCATGTGAGAAGGTTCTAGGCTGGTTGGTCCGAGTGATGCTTTTGGCAATTCCTACAACAATTAGTTTGGCTATTCTCTATGCATGGGTGTTATAAGATTTTGCATTGGATTGACTGAGACTTAGAATCGTGAGTTAGGTGCTTGTTGGTGAGGTGGTGACTTGGTCTCCAACGTCGATCGAAAGAGGCTCCTTGCTTCCAGTTGCGTAGCAAGTCATTTGTAGTAAGATGATTGTTAGAGCCCCACGATGGGCGCCAAACTGTAGATGCAAAAAATCTACTGTCATGAACATAGGGCCTGATCCCGTGAGGTTGAGGCTACTAACATTCCGCTAGACCTGCACACATGAAAGGGCAAGCGTGAAGTTTCCGGAAAACACCGGGGTGGTGTTTGCCGTAGGCACTCCGACGCTCAAGTTAGCAAGGCTGGAAAAGATTTAATAAGAATTAAGGAGAAGAATATTTACCAGGCGTCTTGTCGGAAGCTAGGACTATGGCAGAGGCGTCGGGTTCTTGGGAGCAAGAACTTTATGAGCAAATAGATGGTTTTGCGTAGTGTAGATTGACTGTGGGAGATTGTATCCCTAATGAGAGGGCAAACCTTTGTTTTTATAGTGAACCTAGGGGGTTGGAATCCTAGTAGGACATTGAGTCATCTTTTTTGGGAGATAATCCCTATCAAGAAAGAAATATCATTTTTTGACCTTATCAGATTAAGTTCACTAGTTTGAGTAAGGTTCAAAATCTTAGCAAAAGAGGAAATAGAATATGACTCTGATTTTCTATTTATGGACTGTTGTAGGCTAATGAGCTGAAATCCAATTCAGGTTAACTTGTAAGATAGCCCAATTCATAAAGTAGGTAGTTCACAAAGTGATTTTAAGCGTAGGCCCAATCAAGATTGGACTGAGGCCTTGGGTCGTGTCATGTTTATTTCGTTATTGTGCATTATTAAGCCCAAGACAATTTTTTGCCGTAACAATTTTTTTTCATAAATTCTATTCTAATAAGTTCTTCTATAAACTATACTCATATAAGCCTTATCAAACCGACCCAAACATAGTATAAAAAGATTTAAATAACTTAAACGTGTTATAAACAAGTTAAACATGCTACAAACGATAAACCGAACTATTAAGTTGTCTTACAACACAAATATTTCATATTTATTAAACAAATTACATGGGTCAATATTTCATGTGATCCATTTAGTATCCGTGTTGCGACCTTTGATTCTATAATAAAACGGGTCGATTATAAGTTGACCAAAATTTTATATTATTTTTTATTTCCAAAATTTACTATCCCCTTAGTTGATTTTGGAAAAAAAAATTATATTATAATAAATCATACCAATAAACAGTGAACCGACTCAAAAACCATATAATACTAGAAGAATAAATCTAATATTAATTAGACCGGATATTTATTTAAAAAAATATTTGCTATTAAATTGTTAAATAATTTTTATTTTCATTATTCAATAAAATTACGTTAAGAAATTGCTAGTGCTGTTCTGGATACCTCTAGACGTCAGTCAGAAACTTCTCCACTTCTTCTTCTTTCTTCAAAAAAATTCATTAATCTTATTCTCTCGCTTTAACAACAACCCACCTCCCACAATCTCTCACCGAATCGCAAAATCCATTACAAGCCACTATACTCGATTCAAGAAACAAAGCGAAAAAAAAAATGGTGGGCAATGGTAACAATTACCTCCCTATGAAGATGATGATGAAGAGAAAAGAAATTGATCTTGATGAAGTCAGTGACGACTTCCATGACTTCTCTCTTTCTTCCCCAGCTCGAAAGATTCGCCGCCTGGTAATGCTTTAGTTTCTTTTCTTGTTTTTTTGTTGGGTTTTTAGTTGATGGTTGTGTTTGTAGAAGTGAATTTTATGTGGATTTGGTTGAAATTTTGCATGTAGAATGCGCAGTTGCCGCCGATTATGGAGGAGGACAGGGAGCAGGATAGTCTGCATGTGGGTTCATTGCCGATTGTCGAAGAAGATGTCGTTTCGGAGATGGCGTCTTTGGGTGATCCTGTTAATGAAGAGAGGGCCATTGTTTTGTACAAGCCTCGAATGCCGACTTCTCCCAGTGTTACTGTGAATTTGGATTCTTTCAACTTGGTTTCTGGGTTTAAGAGTGAGTGATCAAAACCCCTTTTTATATGTAGTTGAAATTTCGTTATATTGAAATGACCCATATTGATTTTAGTTCAGACTGCTATTTTTATTGAGAATAAGAAGTTATATTGAGATGTCAAAAGCTCAGTTGTTGAAGATTCAGTGCTACTAGGGTTCAGTTTTGCTATTCAATTTGGCTTCTGTTGTCATATTTTTACTGTACCATATAATATCAAGTGGGTTTAACTGCTGGGTGTAATTTATTTATGGGTTAGTACATCTATAACTGAGTTTTCTGTTCATCAGAGATTACGGATTCGGTTCAGCTGTAGAACCCTGCTCTTTTGAGCCTCGTATACGGCCTCTTGAGAGATTTTTTTCCCCAAGTTCTCTAGCTGTTTTGAGATATATGTATTGGAGTGTGAAAATGTTTTCTTATAATGTAGATTACATTAGCATTTTAGCTGCTTTCTTGCGTGTGATTGAACAATCCTGAGGAGTGTTATGGGCTATTGTTTTGTTATTTGGTCACAATGTGAACCAAGGTTTGTGAAGATAAGTTTTTGTCTTGGATCATAAGTAATATAGAAGTGCGTTTGAGGTTGTGCGGGGTAGGAAGCATCTCAATTTATCATTGTGTTTTCAGATTTTTTTTTTTTAAAGGTTATAACCAATTTTCCTTCAATTTAGAGTTTTGATGGTGGATGCTACAGAATGCTAGTATATTAGAATGATCAGTCTCTGTTGATGGTTGTAATTTTTTATCTAACTTGGTAGCTGTGCTCTGCAGATCAAATTCTTCGGGCAAGCCAAACCAGGAACACGAAATTGGTTGAGGATGAAGAATATTTGCATGACGAAAACAATGCAACAACAGACAAATGTTTAGCCGTTGTGCCCTGGGTTCCTTCCCAGTTTCCCGTTGCCTCTAACTCAGGCATGGATGCTTCCCAAATGGAGCCATCAGATTTGATGGAAGCTGATGATATGGAAGAAGCAGCAATGGACATTGAAGAGAACAATAACTCTAGCATAGAGCAAGGCCAATCAAATGAATTTGGTGGAATGAGGGAGGGTGAGGGCTTACCTCAATGGCCCCAACAGCACTGCCTGATCCCCCAGTTTCCTCAAAGCACTTCCACGCCCATCACGTGGTTCCAGTAACAAGCACTAGTACGGTATATATTTTCCTCCATCTCATAGTTTCATTATGCTATGGAGTTCTAAGCAGGATTAGTTATGTGAAGGTTAGATCTCACTAAAATGGCGAATTGGGGATGGTAGGGAAACTCCTTTTTGTGGCCATTTGTGATTTGAGGGTGATCGTTGATATGTGCTTTTTAATGAAAAGCATGTATAAAGTAATGAAAATGTTGTAGTAGTGGTAGTGGTAGTATAATGTGAAAGCCAAAATCAAATGTTGGTGTAATGCGAGAGCAATGGTGGGATTTTTTGTTTTGGAAGATCGGTGTAAAATCCCTTAAAGATGTTGCCCTGTTGATTGCTTCAATGCTTGTTGATTTGTTTAATGCAAGAGCAAGGTGGCTTTTGATGTTCTTCATGGCTTATCTGCTAGATCAATTATTTTGATAACAAGAACTTCACTGAAAAATCTGGTGAAAATGTTGAGTTGCTGAATTTCAAGTCATGAAAAACTGTGTACTTGATTGCAAACACTAATGTTAATAAAATTTCAATATCTGACAGCATTATATTTCTATAAGAGTTGTCATAAGGGTCCAAAGTAAGATAATGTTTTAATAACCAACTTGAGGTGAAACCGGCAAAGTTGTTGGGTTTTGGCTTGAACTGTTTGACTGGTCGGGTGACAAAACTTTTAAAATTGAGTAAATATATTCCTAAAAATTATATTTAAGTCTTTATAGGTTTGAAATTTAGCAAACACATCTCAAATACAAATTGGTTGGCGACACCTCAAAGGTAATCCCAATCGTTCCTTAAGCCCATTCCCTCGAAAATATAGTTAAGATCTGGTCAAAATTGGTTCGATTTTTGTGAGATCTCATCGACATCGGCATCAGTATTTCGGGCCAGATCTCACTGACGATGGTGTCAACCACCCTCTCCATCACGTCGAAAATACTCTCCTCTTCCTCCCAACCGAAACCCACCTCACCCCACCTTTGTTAGCTTTGTCAATCATCGGCAAAAGCTAGCTTTTTTTATCGCCAGTTTTTTTCGATTTCCAATCAATTCATTCACCGGAAATCAACTATGTTGCCATCATTGCACTTATTGACACTTTCAAAAACTTCAATATCCCGACCTTCAATTGTTCATCAATTATTAACCCAAATTCTAGGGTTTTAGGTGAATAGGAAAAATGTTAACCTGCCCAGTGAAGCTTCCGAGTCTTGGTTAAGCAGGTTAAATCGGTCGAGCCGTGCCAGGTTTTAAAATAGTGCGTTAAGATAACAAATACATCAATATGATATATATTTTGTCCATTCGTGATCTTAATGTGTGCCAACAAACATTAAAACAACTCTTGCAACAATATGAGGAATAATCATTTTTTTTTTATTTCTTGTTAGTCTAAGGTCATGGACTCCTATGCTGATATTTTGTATTGTAGTAACTTCATTTAGACTACTTGTGTACTTTACTTTCAGGTTGTGGGGGAGCTATGACTAGAAATCATATTATGTTTGTATTCACATGTGAGTGGTACTGTATCTTTGTTATTCACATGATACTTGAGGATACTGAATCTTGTATCACATCACTTCACTGTAACATTTGAGAAGAATAATATTAGCCCTGTTTGCTCATTCCCCATGTGAAATATGTACTGTCAAGGTCTCTTAAATAGTTAAATGTACTTTAAGCAATAAAAAATGTTACCAACTTTTATAGTCATCAAAATGACTGATATATTATATATGTATAACTAATCATCTCACAAGTGTATTATATTGTTGAAAAAATACAACTAGTTATAAAATAATTTACTAATAAAATTATGCTTACTCACAATCTTATTAACCATCTTACTATTCTGATAAATATAACGGCATAGTATAGGTACTATACGTATGGTACCCGTACTATGCCGTTATATTTTCCAGGATTATAAGATGGTTAGTAAGATTGTGAGTAAGCATAGCATTACTTATAATTTACGGGACTCAACATAGCCATTTTACAAATACTTTCTTGGTAGGAACGGGTTATGATAGAATACATCTTGGTTATCTTTATGAAATGGGCGGATTGGCTATCCCAATTCTAAAAATATTCAGTATCTTATCGACGACGCCCCTTGCATTACCAGGGCATGAGTAGTTTTGTTGCAGAATTGATAGTATGAGTTCATCTAATCACCCTCGATGAAAAATAATTATGACAAAAATATTTAGAAGATGGTATAATATCAAGTCTAATATGTTTTAATTAGACTTAAATACTAACTCATCAAGTCTAATATGGATTAATACAATATCCCCTAAATGTTAAAAAATAAATATGTCCCATTAAAAATTCAAATGATAAAAGATATAAATGATAAAAATAAATTAATGGAGTTGCTATTATTTGTTCAAAAAACGTATATACATCATCGTACTTGTTATACAAACATTTCACTAAATTTTTTTCACTTATATCTCACTTATATCTCAATTAATTCATGTTGCAAAACTCTCTGGCATTGCACTCCTATGTTCATCAATGACAATAGTACAATAATGTGGGAAAAATATCCTAAACTCTTCAAAGATGCTAACATAACTCAAAGTAAGCATAATTATAACCAATAAATAATATACAAAATGCTGTAAAAATAACCAAATAAAAGGTAGCTACCATGATAGAATCTCCCTTTGAAGGACTCTTGCAAGAAGAGGAAAAAAAGAAAAGGGAGAATGACTACAGTATACAGAGATGATCATTGTTTACAATTGTTTACAACATACAATGGGAGCTTTATGCAAATCTTCCATATTATTTGAAGGTTATTACTATGAGATAAAAGTTACATAATCAACAAAAAAATTAAAAACAAAAACAGTTAATCCAAGTCTCTGATGAGGGTATCCTTCTATCAACTTCAATACTTCTTTTCACCCTTTTTACCTTCAAGAGAGAGATGCATGAGACTGTTTCTATTATCTTCAGCAACAGGCAACTCTATAAAAGGTTAATGCCACATCGACACTGTACTGAAAACTTGCTGCCCCTATAAAATTTATATTCCAGCTAATCTTCTGAAACAAATTTCTTCTCTTTGTAGTATTTCTGCTCGCTCACTGCTTTCTTGGCATTGCGTTTCTGCATTTAAAGTCAGGTATAACAAGTTATATCATCACTCCTCGAATCAGAAATCCAGATAAGCCAGAACTAACAGAATTTTCTGCAAAACCTAAGTCCTAATGTTTTGGTGGAAGCGTAGCCAAGAAGAGCATCCAGAAATGCTCTACTTATAAATGCACAACCTATGTAGCGGACAAAGAGTTCGAAACCATATACAGATTTTACTTATCACTGCAACTTGCAATGGTCAATCTTATTTCAATGCATGATAGAGCAATCGCTGATCATATTTTCACATTACTACTATATTCTGGGAAAGGCTACCGTCTTGAAACATTTGTGTATACGTGCGAAAAATAAAAATAAGTAAAAGGGAAGAATGGTGAAATACCGTGTAGGCATCGTGGTTGGCAACTATCCTTTGGGCCACTGAAGTGGTAGTTATACTTTTAGGACTCTCGAGTAACTGGAAAATTCCCATACTCTTGGGAACTGCATATGGATCAGTTTCATCCTGCATAATGCAAATTATTTGTATAGAAGATCAGTTTTTGATTGCATGTCGACGAAGGCAGATGTAATTATTGATCAGAAAAGACAGAATTTGCGTGCTTACAATCAACAAAGAGTTGGTCTCAGCAATTGTCCCACGCACAACCAAACTGATGTTGAAAGTGGTTATCTGTGAAGTTGAAGAAAAAAATGTCAAAGGAGTTTCGGTAAAAAAATTACACGGTAAATCAGAGCCAAAGCTATTTTAAATGATGCAAATTGGGTGATTAACACAGAAAGGGAAACCAACGCCTTGCTACCAATTACATGAGATTGCAAATTTTTAAATAGTTATTAATGAAAAATAAGATATTCGACCAGGCGTGGATTAGAGAAACGAGTTCAAAGCATCACATTACAACTTAAATACATAGAACTGGCAAGTGCCTGATTAAATATTATCGATTCTACAACTATATAGCATATGTGAAAAGTAAATTTAGATAGAATACATACCACATCCTTAGTAACTTCCCAAGGTGCGCCAATGATGACTTCATCAACATAACGACAAGCCAGCACACTGAGACAACGCTCATGTAGATTCATAATCAGGTGGTGATTACCTCTGTGTTCACTGCATGAAACAGTAACTAGTTACCTTATTTGTAAACATTTCCTCTCAGTGATAGCATAAGTATAGAGCCACACACTTGTGCTTCAAATTCCACAACCATTCTTAGGATGAATGCAGAACAGAACCATGATGAGAAGTGAAATAATAACTTTAATTACCTCACAATCTGGTCAGTGTGGACTCCAACTAGAAGAAAATCTCCAAGCTGCTTAGCCTTCTTAAGAATCTGATTAAGCACAGGCATAGAATGTTATGACAGTCACCAACTGTGGAATTAGAATTTAAGAATACAAGGATGCTTGCTACAATAATCAATAGAAACACAATACCTCTACATGTCCTGCATGAAAGAGATCAAATGCCCCATCAATATACACCACACGAGCATTTGGTCCAGGTCCCTGAGATTAGAAAAAAAAAAAAAAAAAAAAAAAAAAATTAAGACACTTAGAGATAGATAACCAATCTATGCATCCCAAAAAAATTTGACCCTAAATATAAGAGGACACTAGAGAATACAAGTAATACCTTGCAATTTGAAAATTGCACAATCCTACGGGATGTTGGCAGAAATTGAGATATGTTGGCACTCTTGGATTGAATTGCTTTCTGGGGATTTACAGGCAAGGATTTACCATTACAATATTCATGAGCTTTTATATCATCCATAGAAGAAAGTATCCTCCCTACATGTAAATAACTTAAGCATCATTAGAAACAGAAACATATATACATATAATCTCAAGAAAATTAAATGATGCTCAATTGTGCTTGAGCCAAATCTTTCCAAGGAAGTCTAGATAAAATTATCCAGGTGAAGCAACAGCAGTGACAGAAAGAGCAAGAACATTTTCTATTTAAAAGAAATTTACATCTTCTCATGTCCTCATTTGCATATGATTCATCTGACTTCATATTCACCCTAAAAAGTGCTGTAGGCATATCTAATTATATGAGAAAAAAATCCTCTTTCCTGAAAAATCATAGTCGTTTGTCACAAGAGATTGATCAAGAGAATGTTAGTACCTACAATATCTGTGCTGGAGACGCCTTCTGTGCGCTTAATCTGCTTGTAGCGGCCAACTTTCTTTGCCAAAGCATAAGCATCAGTTCCATCTGGAAGCAGGCACGGATCATCACCATGTATGATGTAGTCAATCTTGTGCTCAGTGAAGAGGCGGTTCATGAACTGCTCAGTAATAGCATAAGGAGCATTGGCTATAACTTCATCCACCCACTTTAATCCACTAACAAGGGCCAACCTAGAAAATACACCAAGTGTAAGATCAAAAGACATTTGATAGTCC